GACAAACTCTTGACTTTCCCTCTGTTGTGTCTCTGTCTGTCTGTCTATGTGAGTGGTTGGAGGGTGTCACTTGGGGGCGTGGAGGGCTCTTGACTTCCGCTCTGTTGTGTCTCGGTCTGTCTGTGTGGGTGGTTGGAGGGTGACACTTGGGGTCACAACCTGTTGACCTTTTCCTGTTGTCTCTGTCTGTATGGCTGTGTGGTTGGAGGGTGGCACTTGGAGGTCACAACGTCTTGACTATCCCTCTGTTGTGCCTCTGTCTCTCTTTGTTGGGGTGGTTGGAGGGTGGCATTTGGGGGGGGGGTGGCACAAACTCTTGACTTTCCATCTATTGTGTCTCTGTCTGTGTGGGTGGTTGGAGGGTGTCTCTTGTAGGTCATAATATTTTTATTTAGTCGTTCCCTTCTGTTGTGCCTGTCTGTCTGTGTGTGTGTGGGTTGTTGGAGGGAGGTATTGGTGGGTCACAACCTCTTGACTTTTCCTCTGTGTGTCTGTGTCTGTCTGTGTGGGTGGTTGGAGAGTGGCATTTAAGGGGGCACAAACTCTTGACTTTTCCTCTATGTGTCTGTCTGTATGTGTGGGTGGTTGGAGGTTGACACTTGGGTGTCACTATTTCCTGTTATTTTCCTGTGTTGTTTTTGTCTGTGTGGGGGGTTGGAGAGTGTCACTTGTAGGTCATAGTTATTTGACTTAGTCTTTAACCGTGCGTTTTTGTTTGTGTGGGTGGTTGGAGGGTGTCGCTAGCAAGTTGCTATTTTTTAACTTTGTTTTTTCCCTCTGTCGTGTTTTGTTTGTGCGGGTGGGTAGGTGGTTGGAGGACGTATTTACTACGTCATTACTCTTTTTCTCTTTCCTCCTGTTGTCTGTGTGTCTGTTGGCGACTGAAAGGCAGCAGTGGGTAGTTGGCGGGTGCTCTAGTGTGGTTTTCTTCTTCTCTCCTATCAAACATCTATCGTCCTTATCTCCCCTTCTTCTTTTTTGTGTTTGTTACTCCCTAGTAACACCTCTAATCTTCTGGCGCTCATATGACCTTGTTTATGCAGTTGCGAGCGCCGTAAAACCTCTAATAGAACTAAAAAAGAAAGGCATCACCGCTAGGCCCTCCTACTTCTTGACTTCCGCTCTGTTATTGGTTTTATACCTGGTATGTGTGCGTGGTTGGAGGGAGGTACTGGTGGGTCCTACCTCTTTACTTTCCCTCTGTTTCTGTCCGTCAGTGTTGTCCTTCCTTGAGTACTAAATGACTGTCATCTGTACCGGTGTTCTCGAACTCTAACCCAAGGTCAGGTACACAGGGACTGAGACTTTAAATGCCCCC